CCGGGTTTTATGTCGTAGTGAATGATTCTCTGCTGACACTCTTCGTGCAAGTAAGTAATACCTTTCGCTGTCCCAATTGCGATTTCATGCAACTTCTCCCATTCAATCATTTGTGTATCGTTGAAAAGGTATTTATCTAGTGATCCATTTTCCATGTACTCATACACTAATGCACTCATTATGTGATCGTAGCAAAAACCATATAGTCGGACTAAATTTATATGGTATGTTCTTCCAATAGTACTCACCTCTGCCATGAACTGTTGCTCAGCTGCTTTATCCGAGCTCCTATTGATGACCTTGACCGCGATCTTAACTCCATTTGGAAATTGACCCTTGTAAACAATCCCAAAACCTCCAGAACCCAACCTTGTAGCGTAATTACTTGTGAAACTACATAGCTGTTCGGCTGTAAATCTAACTGGTTTCTCCTTTGCCAATTCTTCGAGGAACCTCTCCATTGTTGGTGCATCGATTTCCCAAACTCGAACCACATTTAAGGTAGGTGGTGGAGCCACAGCTGCTCGTAATTCTGAAACAATTGCTTTTCTCGCTATCCTGGCGCAAACCACTAAGCCAAAGACGATGACTAGAAATACTACCACAAACACTATTGCACCTATAAATTGAAAATAAAATAAAATAAAAATTATATTTTTTTCTATATTATTATAGTTTATTTTTTTACAATTTCTACTTCATGAATGAACTTACCTGCAGCCCCTTTGCCCGAAGGAGGAGAGTAATCTGTAGACGTCATTGGGGGTATAGGCGGAAATTCCATGGATATGTCAGGGCCCAGGGCAATAATCTCTCTAGACATTTCCATGTCCCTCTGAAGTACCAAAAACTTCCCGATTTATAGGCTTGGCCCCCCTTTAGCTGTATGGTTATGTCATTCGCATTACGTAAATATATTAGCAAGGCTATGATATACATCATTTTTTTTTTATAATAAAAGATATTAAATTTTTGTAGTGTTAATCATTAATTATTGTGGTTATACTATGATAGAAAAAATCATTGAAAAAAATTATTTATGAACTATTGTGATTATGCTATAAACTATTATGTTATGAATATTAAAAAGTTATGAATTATCATAGTGAGAAAAGTCATTATCAAATCATTATCTCTATTTTGACTATTATTAAAGTCATTATAAAATATTTGGAAAAATTACGTAAGTTTTTAAAAATAATTTTAAATTAGTGTTAAACTTTATCAACTTTGATAATTAAAGCTATAAACTCTTTCATAAATTTAAAAATATTCTATGAAGTTTCAATTGATTTGCAATTTTTTCAAACTATTCTGTTTCTCTTGTTATACTTTGACTATCTATTAAAAAAAATAATTCCCTCTATTTTTTTTACACGTCTTTTCTTAAATAATAAAAAATCACTAAAATAATCATTATGTAATAGTTGTTGCTTACGTAAAAAAAAATTATATTAAGAATAGGATGAGACTCAAAATCAAGATCATGTGTTTGATAAAGAAGACAATCACTACTTGAACAACTTATACTATGTATACATTCTTCTTGATCATTATTCTTATACTATTATCTTTTTTCGATTGTAGACCGCTAATATATATATATATATATATTTATATATCTTCATGCTTGGCTTCTAATAATGAAATCTTGATTCCATCCATGTCTAATTAGAATAGATAACACTTGAAAATTCAGTCCAACCAGCATTGAAGGAAAGCAAGGACAACATGACTCTTTGATTCCTTGGGTCCATATGTCTAATGAGTTTTGACATTTATTATGCATATGGTTTTGTGGGAGTTGAGTATGAAAATTATACATTCGATGAACAGAGTATAAGCCCATCACTGATGGCCCAATTAGATCCATACTTGACCAGGCCCACTAGTTTAGAGCTACTATGTTGAGTGATCTATGCTCCGATTAGGTGATACATCGAGAAACAATCGCCGACAATTAAAGAGCATTCATGCCGACTACAAAGGTCAATTCAGCATGACTATCCCAATCGAAGTGAGCCTAAGTTGTCCCTTTCTGGAGGTGTAATAGGGACTTGGTCTTGAGATTGTAATAATAGAAATATCTACACAAGGCTTCTATACAAGGAAGAGAAGTGGAAAAACAAAGGTATGCACATTCACCCAAACTTAATTGAATCCCAAAATATCTAACCTATCTCCTTTCATCTATAATCTGACTTAACCACTGGAGTGCTAATTCCGACATCCCCAACCGAAGTGTTTCTTATTTCAGGCATTGGAGCGAGGATCAAACAAAGGTCTGCTTGGGACAAAGGAATAATGAAAAACCAACCTTCACAGTTTTGGTTGTTCATGGAAATTTTATTTGGACAAATACGAAATGGTAAAACTAATTATAAATCAATGGAAAATTCTGCTCTAATTATCTGTAGAATTACCATATCCCCTATCATTAATTAGAAGTTTAGTTATTTTGAAAGCTTTAAAAGACATGTACCAGTCGAAGATTGCTCAGAATAAAGCCCTCCTGATGAGAAGGCTCGTAAATTTGAAGCTGAAAGGCGGTGTCTCTGTAGCAAAACACACCAGTGAGTTCCAAAATCTGGTGAACCAACTAGCAACTGTCAAAATAGAGTTAGATGATGAGATGCAGGCCCTATTGCTGCTCAGCTCCTTGCCAGATAGTTGGGAGACGTTGGTGGTGTCCCTCAGCAACTCTGCACTTAAAGGAAGACTGACCACGAATATGATCACTAATTTTTTATTTAGTGAAGAGGCAAGAAAGAAAGACATGGGGGAATATCAGTCGCATGCCCTTGTCACAGAAAATAAAGGTAGAGGCAGAGGCAGGGAAAGAAGCAAAAGTAGAGGACACAGCAAAGGAAGATCTCAAGATAGGGGGAAGTCTAGAGAAAGTACGAGCTGGCTAAGGTTTAAGGGTTACCATTGTGGCTAGAAGGGTCACATAAAGAAATATTGCTATACCTTGAAGGGAGAACAAAGCTGCCATAGACCTGAGCAAGAATTCTATGTACCATTCTCGCACAAACCACATTGTTGTTCCGTATCATTGGATACGCGAAGTGGTGGAGAAGCAGTTATTGGAATTGGTCAAGATCCACACAGATAAGAATCCAGCTGACATGCTTACAAAGGTGGTCTCGAGAGACAAACTTGAAGTGTGCAGGGACATTACTGGGATGGACTTCCAGTAAGGATCCTACTCTCCATAAGTGTAGAGGGGGAGAATTGTTGAGGATCCACACCAATGTGATCTTGGCTATGATGGAAGTCAAGTATGGAGGTTGTTAATATAGATTTGTTGAAGTTTTTCAAACCTAGGGTGGCTTGCCATTTATTTTGATAGTTGGTTGTTGGCAAGTAGAGGTTGGTAAGTAGAGATTGATTTGTTTTTGGGCTCTCCCGTTTGTGTATGAATAGGGAGAGCTGTTAGCTGAATTGTATCATCAAAAATTTGAGAGAGAGAGCTGTGAATTGAGTGAGAATATTTTTCCTCCTCTGTTTTTGTTTTTGCTCAGTTATTAGTAAATTCTCATTTTTGCTCCATGGATGATGGCATTGGGCCGAACCACGTAAATATTTGTGTCTAATTTGTGTGTGTGATTACTTGTTGATCATCTTCATGGGTGTGTTTAATCCGAACAATTGTCTTTTGTGAAGTTGTGATTTGGTTAGAATTTGCATATATTTGTATAATTCTTTTGCTTTATAGTCAAAATCATAATTATTTTGGTGTAATTGAACTTCTTCGAAGATCTCCACACAATATGAATATCATAAAAATAAAGATAAACTATTAATAGGTCCTAATAATTTGACTTAATTCTCATTAAATCCTATTAAAAATAAGTCCTAATAAAATCGTTACTAAAATAATTTTCTTGAGACGATTTTTTTGTATATGTTGCTAAAAATTGATAATTAGTAATTTTTTTTGTTACGAATTTTATAAATTGCCTCTAAAACTTACAGTTAGTGACGTTTTTCTATAATGATTTTTTTAAACTGTCGCTAAAACTTATAATTAGTGACATTTTTGTGACAACATTTTCAAACTATCGCTGAAAATTAATAATTAATGACTTTTTTAATAGTATTTGATTAAAATTGTTATTAATTTTCACATGACCTATTAAATAATAAGTTCACCTAATAAGACCTACATATAAGTTCCCTAAAATTAGAGCTAACAATTGTATGGCCAGAATTCAGATTTCTTGTTTCCCAAATTCCTTAATAACCTTGTCTCAATTGCGCAATATGATCAAGTACACATAGTACAAAAAGGTTTGTGACTAACAACTAAGAGCATGTTCGAGACTCAAAATTCAAATACAGAAAAATATTTAAAAATATATATGTAGTGTATGATACAGATCTATTCTATGTGTGCATGGATTCCACAATATAAAAATTGAATCTAGGCTGGATATAGTTTTTCTTAATATATTTTGTGTCCAAGTTCTTGATCTCTAATATTAGTGGAAAAGAATGGGAGTCTATACTCTATCGTGCTATTATTTTCTCTTTTTGTCAAACTTTTTGATTCACTCGAGGAAGGAGATTTGAAAATTATTTTTCAAATTTTTGGTACGTTTTCTATGATATTTCCACTAATAATGCTAAGAAGACATTATCGAAATATATTAATGAATATGAATTCCTAGACATAGATTTCATTAACAAGTATTATAAAATTATGCTCATTCATGTATTTTGTGTCTCATAAAATTCTGTCTATTCATGTTTCGATCAAAAAGGATAGAAACATATGCTTGAATTGATAAAAATAAAATAAAATAAAATAAAATAAATAAACTTTGGGATAAAAACAAACATGGGTTGACTAGAATATATTGAGCAATTGACAACAAGATATTCATTATTTAAATTTTAAACTTGGTCTAATTTTTTTTTTTTGACGGTAAATTCCTATCATGAATTAGAAGTTTAGTCCTTTTGAGAGCTTAATTGAATACAAGAAATTCACATACCAATAACAAGCCAGAAAGTGTACACTTGGGCGTTGAGAACTCTGCTTTCACCACCAAATGCAGAAACTTTTTCTTTGTTTCTTTCTTCCCTTTACCCTTGGCTAAACTGATAAATAAATACAAATGAGAGAGAGAGAGAGAGAGAGAGAGAGAGAGAGAGAGACATAGATGAGAGGAAATTTCAGAGAAGAAGACCACAAGTTCAGAAGTCTATCCACGCACAAGGATGGACAGTCGGCGCTGGCAGGGGCCACCCGATAAATTAAAAATTGAGGAAATTATATGCAGTTGTAGGGGGAGAAAAAAATTATAAGGATAAATTACAAATATATTTATGAGATTTGTTTAAAATACGTATTATTTTTTGTGATTTGAAAAATTATAAATATCTCATTATTAGAAATTTTTTATTTAATAGAATTAATTAAAAAAATAAAATTTATAATTGTTCTCCTATATAATAACAAAATTACTTTTATTAATTGAAACATATTTATAATATTATTAAAAATTGTTAATTGACTTGCTACTTTATTAATAAAATGAGTGATTTGTTATGAAATTAGAAAGCTCAATGAGTGAAACGTAATTTGTAAAATTGTAGAAGGTGATTCATATTTTAATTAAAACTCAAGTAATGTATTTATAATTTACGCAAATTACAAATATATGAGGGCACAAGTATGTCTTCTTTTCCCGTTTTGCTCTGTTTCCTCTTACCTTTCCCTAGTCTCTTCTGAGTAACCACTGCCCCATCCCCTACCATTGGCCACCGCCCTCCCTCCTTCTTCTCTCTCTCCCAACCCCAACCATCTATGACCCTCATGCATCTCCCTCCCCCACCACAAATTTCTGCACAACCAAACTCAACCTAGTGTGAAAAGAAGACTCCTGAATCATGAAATGTTGAGTTCTGTTTTGTTTGGTTTTGAAACAAAAATATTAAGGTTCCAGAATTTACTAAGAATGGATATCCGTGGTAGAAATTAAATTAATGAAGTGTAGGGTCTGTAAATGAAATAAATCTGAACCATTGATTATTATTTATAGATAGATAGTTCTAGATTTGTAGTCTTGTTGATTTTGAAAATAGTTTTTACAAAATTGGAGTTTTGTAGTTTGTGATGATTTGTAATTTTTTTTTTATAATTGAATAAATTATTGTGAGAAAAAAAAGTGAATGATTGATGTGTAAGATATGTGTAATTGATTTGGTATTAATTTTGTATTCATAGAATTACTGAACACGAAAGACGCGTTTTTTTTTCATTTGTTTTTTCTTGGTTGTCTTGATTGATTGTGAAAGAGGAAGATGGGTTGTAAAACTGTCTTGAAAGAAACCATTTTATCATCTTTTTATTGCCTTTCTGCCATTGCTTTCATTGACCACCCAAAATAATTGAGTGTTCTAATGATAGATCTTCATAACAAAAAAATGTTATTTAAATATAGAATTTAATCAAAAAAAATTTACAAAAATGATATGACACTACCATTCTTATAAATAAATTTGTTTTTATAAATATTTTAATTTAATGTCAAAAGTAAACATTGATCCATTCAAATTGTATAAAAAACTTTTTCAAAATTTCTTGACTCTGCCGTTAGATACAAATTTCTTATAATTTCTTCTCACCCTTCCTAGTAATCTCTCTCTCTCTCTCTCTCTCTCTCTCTCTCTTGTATATTTATTATCAATCTACTCAAAGATAAAGGGAAGAAGAAAGGCCAAGAAAAGTCAGGTAACTCTGTGATCTTGTTGGTGGTGAAAGCAAAAAGTTGTCATCCTCAGACTCTCTCTTTACTTGGCGATTCGTATGTGGACTTTTTACTCAAATTAAGCTTTCAATAGGACTAAACTTCCTATTAATGATTGAGGGATATGATAATCCTGGTGATAATTATCTCTGTTGGTCCCATTTTAATCAGTCCAGGTTTGTTTTATTAGTCTCTATCTAATTAAACCTACCTTCTTAATTTTTATAATTCTTGGACCTTAAAAATAAATTAGACCTATTTCATTTGTGAGGATGTTGTCTAATTCTGTTATGAATTTGTGTTGTTAGACCTTTTCTTTACCCCCTATTTTTTGTTAGTTTATTATTATCATTCATCTAATATTTTCTCAAATAAAATTACTGCCAATAGTCATTAGATGCAAGATAAATGTTGTTGCATAAGGAAAACGCGTTATTTGTTTTTTTTTTATTCTTTGGATGTTTAAATTTAAATGTATCTCGTTTTTCGGTTTCTTTGATTGAAGTAATTTTTGTATGCGGATAGAGTATATGTCATATGATACATTTTACTATTGTGATTGACTTTAACAATATAATCCACTATATTTATGTTGGGTGTTTGGAGAACAATAGGGGACATATGTATTTGTGATTAGTGAAAGATAATCCCACGTGATACCCTATTAATATACAAACATTTCCCCTTTTGATTGATTGAGAAAGAGGAAGGTGGGTTGTAAAACTGTTTTGAAAGAAACCATTTTGTCATCTTTTTAATGTGTTTTGTCATTGCTTTCATCGACCACCCAAGGGCTCCACATTGCGCGTTTTAGTGATATATCTTCATAATAAAAAATGTTATTTAAATATAAAATTTATGCAAAAAAAAAAAAATTAACAAAAATAATATGACATTTTGACATTCTTATAAATAAATTTATTTTTATAAAGGGAGCTTTTTTGATAAATTCATTTTCTAAAAGTTTTATTCCATCCAACCCATATTCTTTTTTACTATTCCATTAGGTCCAATTTGAGATAAGAAGACCAAAATACCATTTTTATCAACTTATGTTCTATTTAGTTCACATTATTTTCTTATATTTCAATAAGTCCTATGAGTGACATAATTACCAAAATACCCTTAATGTGAATGTTCACACCGTCAATATAAATGTTTATGCCTCCGTTTGGGAAGTGGGTTGGCTTTTTGACTTTTTAGCTTTTTTGACTATTTTAGCCTGGGCTTAAAAGCTTGGTTTGGGAAGGGCTTTTTGACTTTTTGGCTTTTTTTAGTTTTTTTGTGAGAGAAGAATGTAATGATTATGGGTTGGATGTGATGTTTTGTTTGTTATGGCTAAAATAGCCTATTTTGTTTTTTGTGGCTAAAATAGCCAAAAAAGCCCAAGAACCAACTTGCCAAACAGAGGCTATTTAAAGCTTGATTTGATTGACTTAATTTGGGAGGTTTGTGTGTTGGATTTTTTTGAATTTTTTTATTAAAAGACAATTTTTTTACAAAATTAAAAAAAATAAATTCAAACAAAATATCACAATCAATTTCATAATCATTTCACTTTTTCTCTCACAAATCTTATATCCAACTATAAAAAAATTCAACTATCTAATAGTATTCTATAATTAAAAAAAATTACAAAAAAAACTCACTTCCTAAACACTCATAAAGAATTCAACTATCTAATAGTATTCTATAATTAAAAAAAATTACAAAAAAAACTCACTTCCTAAACACTCATAAAGAATTCAACTATCTAATAGTATTCTATAATTAAAAAAAATTACAAAAAAAACTCACTTCCTAAACACTCATAAAGAATTCAACTATCTAATAGTATTCTATAATTAAAAAAAATTACAAAAAAAACTCACTTCCTAAACACTCATAAAGAATTCAACTATCTAATAGTATTCTATAATTAAAAAAAATTACAAAAAAAACTCACTTCCTAAACACTCATAAAGAATTCAACTATCTAATAGTATTCTATAATTAAAAAAAATTACAAAAAAAACTCACTTCCTAAACACTCATAAAGAATTCAACTATCTAATAGTATTCTATAATTAAAAAAAATTACAAAAAAAACTCACTTCCTAAACACTCATAAAGAATTCAACTATCTAATAGTATTCTATAATTAAAAAAAATTACAAAAAAAACTCACTTCCTAAACACTCATAAAGAATTCAACTATCTAATAGTATTCTATAATTAAAAAAAATTACAAAAAAAACTCACTTCCTAAACACTCATAAAGAATTCAACTATCTAATAGTATTCTATAATTAAAAAAAATTACAAAAAAAACTCACTTCCTAAACACTCATAAAGAATTCAACTATCTAATAGTATTCTATAATTAAAAAAAATTACAAAAAAAACTCACTTCCTAAACACTCATAAAGAATTCAACTATCTAATAGTATTCTATAATTAAAAAAAATTACAAAAAAAACTCACTTCCTAAACACTCATAAAGAATTCAACTATCTAATAGTATTCTATAATTAAAAAAAATTACAAAAAAAACTCACTTCCTAAACACTCATAAAGAATTCAACTATCTAATAGTATTCTATAATTAAAAAAAATTACAAAAAAAACTCACTTCCTAAACACTCATAAAGAATTCAACTATCTAATAGTATTCTATAATTAAAAAAAATTACAAAAAAAACTCACTTCCTAAACACTCATAAAGAATTCAACTATCTAATAGTATTCTATAATTAAAAAAAATTACAAAAAAAACTCACTTCCTAAACACTCATAAAGAATTCAACTATCTAATAGTATTCTATAATTAAAAAAAATTACAAAAAAAACTCACTTCCTAAACACTCATAAAGAATTCAACTATCTAATAGTATTCTATAATTAAAAAAAATTACAAAAAAAACTCACTTCCTAAACACTCATAAAGAATTCAACTATCTAATAGTATTCTATAATTAAAAAAAATTACAAAAAAAACTCACTTCCTAAACACTCATAAAGAATTCAACTATCTAATAGTATTCTATAATTAAAAAAAATTACAAAAAAAACTCACTTCCTAAACACTCATAAAGAATTCAACTATCTAATAGTATTCTATAATTAAAAAAAATTACAAAAAAAACTCACTTCCTAAACACTCATAAAGAATTCAACTATCTAATAGTATTCTATAATTAAAAAAAATTACAAAAAAAACTCACTTCCTAAACACTCATAAAGAATTCAACTATCTAATAGTATTCTATAATTAAAAAAAATTACAAAAAAAACTCACTTCCTAAACACTCATAAAGAATTCAACTATCTAATAGTATTCTATAATTAAAAAAAATTACAAAAAAAACTCACTTCCTAAACACTCATAAAGAATTCAACTATCTAATAGTATTCTATAATTAAAAAAAATTACAAAAAAAACTCACT